GGTGGTGATGATGATGATGATGATGATGATGATGATGATGATGATGATGATGATGATGATGATGATGATGATGATGATGATGATGATGATGATGATCTTTGCCCAGCGGGTTTCGAGCGGTGCAGTCAGATGGACGACGTTCTGCTTCTGGCCGTAGCTCGCGAGGCGCTCACGTGGCGCCGCCTCGTCCAGGGGTTTGGCTGCCGCCAGACGCCCTCCCGTCGGGACCGCCGCCCCTGCGCGGCGGCGGGGCCTCAGCGAATTTCCTGCTGGTCTGCCAGCCAGGCCGCGGGCCCGCCGGGGCCAGGCTCGGGACGACCCCGGCTCTCCTCCCGTCGGGCGCCCTTGGTCCCTACGCCCGGTGTGCCGGCCCCCCCTCCCTCCCCCGAGTGGGTCCTGGGCCGAGGGCGCGACCCGCCCAGGCTGGGGCACAAAGGCACTCTTCGGCCTCGGCCTCTGGTGCCTCCCGCCCACCTTCCCGCTCGTTCCCCCCAGGGCGAGCCCATGTGCCGCCCAGGTTGCCTGCCCGGGGCGGCCTGCTGCCGTCGGCGGGCCTCCGCTGCTGCCGCCGCGGTGCCATTTTCGGAAGGGGCGGGGGGGGAAGGATGGGCTCACCCTGCCGAGCTGCGGTCTTCGCTGCGGAGGGGAGGCGCGTTCCTTCCCCCCCCTTTCGCTGGCGCCTCGCCACAGCGGCCTCCGAGGCCTGCGGTCCTCGCTCTCGCCCGGGGCAGGCATCCTTGGCTCCAGCCGCCACTGCGTCGTGCCTTCGGGCGTCGTGCGTTCTCGCTGGACTGGCCACGTGGCGCCACGGTCGCCAGCCTGTCCAGGGCCGTTCCGACCCTGTCGTTGGCTGGCTTCCTCGTGCAGCTGCGCGCGAGGCTTACCGCTCTCGCGGAGAAGGCAAAGAGGCCCCACACTCCGTGCAGAGCAAGGCGCCCCTCGCTCGCCAGGAGCGATGCCCTTCGCTCACGGGTCTGTTCGGGAAACTTCGCGGGTTGTCCTGGCCCCCCCAGTGCCGCCGCCGCTCCCAGGGCCAGTCCGACGGCAGCAGCCGCGCTATCGTCAAGCTTCCCAGGTAGGGGAGCGCCTTCCTCTGCGCGCTGACCGACGACGACGACGACGACGACGGAGACGACCGTAACGACGACCACGACCGTAACGACGACGAAGTGGACGGACGACTGTAACGACGACGACGACGGCGGCGGCGGCGACGACGACGTCGACGACGACGACGGGGGTGTTGGTGCTGTAATTCATGGTGGTGCTGCGTGATGATGGTGATGGTTGTAGTGGTGGTGAGGGCGTGGATGAGGATTACGAGGAGGAGGACCCGAGTAAACCCAAGACGCGTGAAGGGTTTTGCAATCTTCTTCCCTCCAAAATTTCTTGTCGTAGGGCCCTAGAAGTCTTTTCCACTCCTGATAAACTTGAGTCGTGCCAACACCATGGATTTTAGTGTCGCGAATCAACTTTCCTGTTGCGTCCTGACGATCATGACCCGTGCCCGCACACCATTCGTTGGACTTCAACATCGCGAGCCAATGTGAGTGTTGCGCCCTGAGTCGTATATCGTACCAGAACACCATTCGTGGGACAGCCAACCATGAGAATCCGTCAATTTATTTCACACTTGTACAACGACTGTTCGTTGCGCTAAGGCGAGAAACACATTTGGAGCAATAGACGCCCTTTATTATTGCAGCTGTTTCCCACTTCAAAGATTAAAGAGCGCGGCGCTAAGGCGAGCGCCACATTTTGCCGCCCACACTCTGTGAACCGCTTGCCAATTTTAAGACGAATGTGCGTGGCGCAAAGGCTAGAGCAACATTTTGAAAACCAACCGAGTTCCATCCTTGAAACCTCTGCAAACTGGAAAGACGAATGTGAGCGGTGAGAGTCACACTTTGAAACAGTGCCGCCCACCATCCGTGCCATTCCTGGTCACGTTTAGGACGACTGCGCGCGGCACATAGGCGAGAGCCACATTTTGAAACCCACCCGCCCTCCATCCGTGAAACCGGTGTGGAGGCGAGGGCCACATTTTGAAAAGGAACCGCCATCCGTCCGTGAACCTCTTGCAACATATTGGACGAATGTGCGCGGCGATGCGATAACCAACTTTTGAACACGTGCCGCCCACCATCCGTGAAACTCTTGTACACTCTTTATACGAATGTGAGCGGCGCAAATGCCAGAGTCGCATTCTCAAAGCACTCAGCCCTCCATCCTTGAAGCGAGTGCAAGGATTTTAAACGGTGCTTGCGTGAGAAAAAGATTTTGAACATCACCTGCCCTCCTCCATCTGTGACGCTGTTACGCGTTTGAGTTTCACGGTCATAGGTCGTGAGGAAATCTCAGGCGAAAGGCCCCGCCCGCCTTACCGACACGTCCCAGGGTCATTCAGGGACGAGCAATTTATATCGGGGCCACCAAACGGGGTGGTGACCTCACCGTGTGGAGTCGGTGGGGATTCGGGGTCACCGCAGGGTTTTGGGACTCGAGGCCTTCTCCGAGGATGTCTCGGGCGACAGGGGCATCCGAGGTCCCAAACCATGCGTTGACGGACCGTGCGGTGAGGTCTTGGGGGAATTCGAGGTCACCGCACGGTCTGTCACCGCACCGTTTCGGGACTCCAAATTGTAAGGAAGATGGAAGGAGGAGGAGGAGGAGGAGGAGGAGGAGGAGGAGGAGGAGGAGGAGGAGGAGCTGGAGCTGGGTTTCGTGGGGACCTCCTGAGCGTCATTCTTACGCCCTCCCCCGTCAACCTCGTCCATCCCGCCCTTCTCCTGCTGCTCGTTGTTCTCGTCCCCATCATCCTGGCAAGCTTCCTCTAACCCGTCTGTTGAGCAGCTCAGAGTTGTGTCGCCTGCCCTCGCACCATCATGCCGCCCAGCTCTTGTCACCGTCTCCTTGGGGGGTCAACAGAACGTGGAGGCTGCAGGGGTGGTGGTTGTGGCGGGGGTAGGGGCAGTGAGGATGGTGGAGCACTTGATGGCCGAGTCAAGATGTTTGGACATCTTCGACGGGACCGCTCATGGTCGGTGTGAACTGTGGGCCCAGACCTCGCTCCTGGGGGCTCTCACGCCAGACCTCGGGGCGCTGCGTTCCAGGGGGTAGGACCCCCACCCCCCGAACCCTGCGAACCGCGTGAGGAATTCTGCGTCTCGAGGGCGGGTGGTGGTGGCCGACGACCCTTGGGGCTGTGGGCGGCCTGGGCGGCAGGGGCGCGGATGGTAGGATCGTGGCGGCACGGGGGGCGGGCGAGAGGCACGATGGTGAAAAGATGGGGTCTGGCGTGCTGCGGCCGCTGTGTGGATCGCGCCGTGCTCCTGCAGCAGATGGGCGGTGCGGGGGCGGGAGGCGACGAGGAGGGATGCGCGGGTGGGGAAGAAGGTGAGGGGCAGGGGAGGGGACGTGTGACCTTGGAGGGCAAGCAAGCAACATGCTGAGTACGAATTGCACATGAGCACGTAGCCATTATCACGTGGTATCGCAATACTTACTGACTGCGACCCGCCACGCCTTGGACGAGACGCAGAAGTAGTGTCCTGCCACAGCGCCAGAAGGGCCTCCATATCCCCAGCTGCTTCGCAGGCGTGCCTGTGAGCTTCCCAGGACCACGTTGCTCGTGGGCGCCTTCTCTCTCTCGGTGGGTGGGGGAAGGAGGGAGGAAGAGGGCTGGAGCACTACGCACCGCACAGCGTCGTCACCTGTCCTCTCTGGCGATGTGACCAAGAAAGTGAAGCTGCCTACGAAGGAGTCTGCTGCTTAGTCGGCGGGCGTTGGCTCCCGCTAAAGCTCGGGTTCGTTCGAGACTCCCCTGATGTATGACAGAATGGGGAATGCGCAAGAGCTTGCGCAGACACCGCGTCTGGAAGGGGTCCCACTGAATTTTTGGGTCGGTGCCCAGGGGCGCTCTGGTGCTCCACAGCTTGGCGCGGGGAAGTCGCCCAAGTACTGGGGGCACGAAAGTCAGCGTCGCCAGCAGTCGGTCATGGCGTCATGGCCTTCACCTTAGGGCGGGAACGGCGCGGGCATGGTGTCAGTTGCGGTGCGAGCGCACCGATCTTGCTCAATTTCTTTTTCTCCTGCCCCCTCTCATCTGCCATTTCTTTTCTGTTTCTTTTCCTTGTCCTTTGCAACATGCCCCTGCCGCTGTGACCACCCGTCGGATTTGCCGGCTGTCAGCAAGGGGCCGCATGGAACGCAACTAGTTTTTGGAAGGGCCGCGAGCACGCCCGCTAGGAAAATTGTGGGCGAGCTGCGGCCAGCATTGTGAACAGGCTTGTGACTTGTGACCAGACTCGTGACCGGAATTACGACCAGAATTTTGACCAGAACCCCAGCGTGTGCCCCAAAACGCGAGTCAGAAGGTTGCCCAGCAATCCTCCTGCAATTCCGCCAGCGGGGTAGGCCCCCGGCTCCGCCAGGAAACCGGCCCTGTGAAAGGGCCAATGTTGTCCCCGCCAATCCCCCCCCTCTCATGTCTCGCGGTGCCCGCCCCTCCCCTGGCCCTTCCAAAGGCGTCTCTATTGCAGCCCCCGCGACGAATCGCTTGGCAGCAGGATTCTAAGGCCTGGTGGCCGCCTGCGGGCATGGCCTGTTGAGGTGCCGCGATCTCGCAGCTGTCTACCGCGTGGGCGCGAGTGCGCGGCTGACTTGTTTACATACAGGGCTGGCCAGCGCTCTTGTGCAATTCGTACAGGGGCCGCGCGCGAGGGCTCCTCTACACGAAGCACACACACACATTGTAGGCGACATTCCCAGAATCCGAGCTGGAAGCTCCGGATGTGAAACATGGGGTGGATACGCAGAAGGCACTTATACAATTACCAGGGCTGGGCCCTTCCGAACCCTGGTGTTGTGAGAACGCTCTCGTGGCCAGAAGGTTCTGCGCAGCAGCCCCTGGCCCGGGCCGTGGCCAGGCACAGTAGTGATATACAGATGCCATCTGCGAGGGCAAAGTCCTCCCCCATCGCGCGGCCGCGGCGCACCAGGCGCCAGCTGCGGCCGCCCGCGAGCCGCCAGCGGCGGCGCCGGCCGCCCCTCGGACGCCGCCTGCGGCGCCCGGGCCGCCCTCCGCGGCGAGTGTCTCCAGGCCGCCCGGGCCGCCCGGACCGCCTCCGGAGGGCGCCGCTCCTGCGCCGCCAGGGCCGCCGCCAGCGGCTGCGGCCGCGCCCAGGCCGCCAGGGCTACCCCCGGCGGCGGCCGCTCCCGGGCCGTCCGCCGCGCGGGCGCAGGAGGCGGGAGGGGGCACCGCCACGGAGTGGGCGGCCGCAGGTTCAGGGAGGAGGAGGAGGAGGAGGAGGAGGCGGAGAAGGAGGAAGAGGAGGAGGAGGGGGAGGAGGAGGGGGACCAGTGGAAACCCAAGAGTCATCAACGATGCTGGAATTAACCCTCCCTCCAAGCTCCCTTTTCACAGGCCCCTACAATTGTTCATTTCCATTGATGGAGCAGCCTCGTTGGAAGACAACTGTTTGGTGATCCTGAGAGCCCAGACGTTGTTCCCGGAATTTCAAAGCCACGTATCAACCTGACTTCTGTGTCTTGGCGATCCGTAATATTGCCAGAACGTTTTATGGGGGACTTCAACACAGCGAAACAACATAATTGTTGCGCCCCCATAATCCGGAATCCTTTCCGAACACCATTTGTACGCTGATTATGGGAACCCGTGAAGCTCTTGACATCTTTAAGCGAATGCGCGCGGCGTGAAGGCGAGAGCCACATTTTGAAAAATAACTGCCCTCAATCCGTGAATCCCTTGCAAATTTCAGAAACGAATGTGCGCGGTGCTCAGGCGAGAGCCACATTCTGAAAACGACACGCCCTCAATCTGTGAAGCTTTAGCAAATGTTTAAAACGAATGTACGCGGCGCGAAGGTGACAGCCACATGTTGAAAACCACTCGCCCTCCATCAGCGAAACAGTTGCCATTTTTAATTTCAGAATCATAAGTTGTGAGGAAGTTCCAGGCGAAACGCCCGACCCGCCCTAAGAATTGGTGCGGCAGGGATAAATTATCTATAAGGAAAAGGAATGGAGGAAGAGGAGGAGGAGGCCGGGTGTAAGCCCAAGACTTAAGACTTATCAGCGACGTTGGAATCATCCCTGCCTCCAAGTGTTTTTTTTCTCACCGTCGGAAGTGCCCCATCGGGAAGCAACCGGTTGACGATCCTGAAGCGTGCCAAAATACCACTACCGGGATTTCAGCGCAGCGAATCAACATGACTTTTGCGCACTGACGATCCTGAATCGTGGCGGAACACCATTCTTTGGATTTGGGCACCAGGGGTGAACGTAAGTGCCGCGCCGTTACACGCCTAAATCGTTCCAGAACATTTTCGGACTCCGTGGAACGCATGCAGTTTTTTCAGGCAATCGCTCTCCATCCGTAAACCTGTTACATTTTTTTAATACGAATGTACGCGGCGAGAGCCACATTTTGGAAGCGGCCCGCTCTCAATCAGCGAACATCTTGCCACTGTTTGAGGTTCATGGTTAAACATGCGAAGGAAGTCTCAGACGAAACGCCTGGGCCGGCCTTCCAACTGGCCTCTGGGTGCGGCAGGGAGGACTTATTCATAGGGAAATGGAGTTGAGGAGGAGGAGGAGGAGGAGGAGGAGGAAAACCAGCGTAAACCCAAGCGTCATCCACGATACTGGAATCGACCCACCCTCCAAGCTCCTTCGTCATAGGCCCCTACAACAATTCATTTCCAACGAGGGAATTGCTTCGTTTGAAGACAACCATTGGAAGACCCTGACGCGTGCCAAAACATTGTTTTCGGGATTCCAGCGCCACGGATCAACATGACTATTGCGTGTAGACCATCCTGAATCGTGCTAGACCGCCATTCTTGGGACTTCAACACTGCGAATTCACGTAACTGTTGCGCCCGCGTCATCCTGGCACGTTGATGTTGGAAATCCGTGAAGGCTTTGCTATGTTTGTGAACGAATGTGCGCGGCGCTAAGGCTAGAGCCACATTTAGGAAAGGAACCACCCTCGATCCGTGCAGCTCTGGCAAGATTTTTAAACGAATGTGCGCGGTGCTCAGGCGAGAACCACTTTTTGAAATCGACCCGCCCTCAATCTGTGAAGCTTTAGCAAATGTTTAACACGAGTGTTCGCCGCGCTCAGGGGAGAACCACACTTTGAAAACGACCCGCCCTCAATCTGTGAAGCTTTAGCAAATGTTTAATACGAATGTGCGCCGCGCGAGAGCGAGAGTTACATTTTGAAAACGACCCGCCTTCAACCCGTGAAGTTCTTGACATTTGTTTAAAACGAATGTGCGCCGCGCTGAGGCGAGAGCCATATTTTGCAAACCGCCCGCCCTTAATCCGTGAAGCTCTTGCTATCTGTTAAACACGAATGTGCGCCGCGTTCAGGCGACAGCCACAGTTTGAAAACGGCCCGCGCTCCATTTGTGAAGCTGTGCTTCAGAGTCATACGTGCTGAGGAAGTCTCAGGCGAAACGCCCAGCCCGCCCTAAAACCCTGCCCTGGTGACCGACAGGGAGAAGCTATGTATAAGGAAAAATAATGGAGGAGGAGGAGGAGGATGAGGAGGAGGTTCACCGCTCATAAAGGGGGACAAAAGTCAATGGGGAGAGAGAAAGAGAGAGAGAGAGAGAGAGAGAGAGAGAGAGAGAGAGAGAGAGAGAGAGAAAGAGAGAGAGAGAGAGAGAGAGAAGGAGAAGGAGAGAGAGAGAGAGAACGAAAAAAAGGAACAAGCCAAGAGAGAGAGGACATTTGGGGTGGGGGGGCCCATCAGAGGAGGAGGAGGACGAGGCGGTGGAGGAGGAGGAGAAGGAGGAGGAGGAGGATGGGCGAAGCAGGAAGAGTGTGGCGAAGGAGGCGGAAGAGGAGTAAGAGTAGGAGGAGGAGGAGGAGGAGGAAGAGGAGGAGAAGGAGGAGGAGGAGGAGGCGGGGAGGAGGAAGAGGATTTGCCGGACGTGCGCGCACCGCGAGCGCGAAGGCGAGAGAAACATGTTTTGCGGTACGCCTGCAAACCGAACGCTACGAGCAGCATCATGAAGGCACCGATTGGGGAGGATGGGGCTCGCCTGCCATACCATCCTTGCCGCCGAAGGAACGGCTCCCCCCCCGAGGCCCCATCGACGAAGGTCCATAGCGGCGACGAATCCCAACGCTCGTAGGAGTCCTCGACGAAGCCAACGATGGAGGGCGAGCGGAGTGGCGCCGCCCTCTCCCCATGAGCGCCCGAAGAGGCGGCAGCAGCAGCACCTCCTGGAACTGGAACTCCATCACCCTGAGCAGGATTGACAACCATCTTGAAGGCGTGGCCGATGCTCCCAGAGACGCTGTAGCCGTCTTGCGCGAATCCTCATCCGCAGAGCCCTCTACGATGGGGGCTGGGGCCCCATACCTGAGAGCTCATCCAGCACAGGCTCCGTGTCTGCCTCGGCCTCTGGCGGTGGCGGCGCGCGGGCATGACGGCGGACCTTGGCCGAGCCATGGCGCCACAGGTGCAGCGGATGCCTGCCGCCCTGCAGCCCGCCTGTGGCCCAGCAGGCCTCGGCACATGGGCCGCCGCTTCCTCCGCCGCCGCCCTGGCCCAGGTGCGGGCCTTCCGCCGCCCGTGCGGTGTCCGCTAGGGACGCGTACGAGAAGCCACGCGGCGGTACACGCTGAGCATGCCATGCAGCGTTCCACCGTTGCCTCGCAGAATTGGGAACGCTCTGGCCAGCAGCTGCTGGCTGCAGAGCAGGACGGGAGGTACGCTCACCGGGCGGCCGCAGGTTCAGGGAGGAGGAGGAGGAACGAAAAAGAAGGGCTGTCCACGGAGGAGTGGTCAAGCCTTTACTGCCAGGCGGGTGCTGAGCCCATTTAGGCCCAACAGCCGACGGTGGTCTCGTGAAGGGGCCAGGGAAACGCGCAGGGACACGAACCCTGGAAACATTTCCGGGATAGAAGCTCTAGAACACAATATTGACAAGTTAAACGTGAGATACAGGCTACCATCTTCCCTACTGCCTCCCCCCCACCTCCTCGTGGAAGCCGTCGATGGCGACCACCGCGACCACGTCACCCACCACGTATGCGGGCTGGTCGCGGCGCACGGGGGAGGGAGATGCAAAGGATACCCGAGGAGAACGAGGTGGGGCGACACTACAAAACACAATGCCGTAAGGTACAGAAACGTGAGAAGCATCGTATGTGTCGCCCTACCTCACAGATACACGGCTCTAGACGCCTGAGGAAGTAGAGCACATATAATGCTTGATCTGTAATGTGTTGAACACCATGCCACACCCCCATCACCCACCCGTCCAGTACTAGCCGCCCACCCCACCATTAGGAAGTATCGATCGCCTGGTCAAACCAGTCATGCAAATCTGACTGGACCAGCTGTGTACAACACAGTGTGCGGACACGAGCAGGATCGAACAAACCATCAGGAGAAACTGATATTCTGCGCTGCTCCTGGAGGCGCTCTCGGCGCCTCGGGAGTGCAGCAGCTCTGTTAGCAGCAATGCGTTCGAGTATGTTAGGGGGCAAGACAGGGGAGGACGGAGGGGGAGGTGGAGGATCAGGGGATGCGCCACCAATACATCCATGACCTCCTGATTTTCTGCTGCTGCTATAGCAATGCCGTCACCCAGCGGTGCACCAGGCTCAATGCTCAATGTCGTCACTCGGCGGTGCACCAGGCTCAGGGGGCTGTTGCCTCAGGATCTCTGCGATCCTCGCCACCGCTGCCTTCTTCCTGGCGCCGGCCGATCGAAACGCAAAATCTGGCCCCATAGCTGGGGCAAGCGCATCAATGGATGTAGAATCTACAAAAACTGTAGCAGCGATCGCGACTGCCCAAGAAGCGAGGGCAACAGCGACTCCAGCATGGACTGTGCGAGCCCGCTGCATAGCCCAGGGGGATCTGTATTTTCCTGAGCAGATCGCCAGCGCCTCTCAATCTCATCCCATCCAACGACAGGTGGATGTGCACGGGGGCCATGCGAACAGAAACCTCCTCCAGGCGTTTTCCTTACAACGTAACTTAGGCATATGGAGAGCTAGAATTGCCGTCGGCGCCCTGCCGACCTGAAAGAATTCACATTGATCGAAACGTGTAATAGTGGCAACAGGCATCGCGATGAACGCCTTTGTTGGCAGCACATGCCACGATGAAACGCATTTCGGCTCCCAGCTCGGCGGGGCACGATGCTCCATCCAGCCCAGTGCTTGCGAGGCCGCCGCCACAGCAAACATATCAATG